CCTAAGCTAGACAGGCACAAGGCTACACTAGCAGGAGGCAAGCAGGCTAAACTACGAACACGCGAGCACACAGATCCCTCAGCACTAAAGTCAGCATCAACATACAAAGCATGCTGACGCGCATCGTCCATGGACAAGTAAAAAACATCAATCTTACGGGTTAACAGACGAGACCAGCGAGGCGTGACCGCCAGTGGGCCCCAACGAGCCCGGTAGAGGTCGTCGAGGCGGCGGAAGCACCGCGCGGCAGAGTGGTCGTCGCGACCACAGAGACAGGGGCTGCCCGGCCCGGTGAGGCACCAGTGGGTGCAAGGGCCAGCGTCACGGCGAGGGGGGGCGAGGGGCCCAGCTGGAAGAGCTGCTGCTGCGGCCGGTGCTCCCAGGGCCTCCCGGACCCCACTGCGGCGGGGGACCCCAGTGCTGCTGCGGACCCCACTGCAGCGGGGGCCCCCACTGCTGGAACTGCTGCGGTGCCTGCTGCTGCTGCTGTCCCTGCTGTGGCTGGTGCTGCTGTGGCTGCTGCTGCTGGGGGGCAGCACCCCCACCGGTCGGGCCACCACCTGTGGGTGGACCCGTCTGTCCTGCGCCTCCTCCAAGGCCCCCTCCCCCTGGTGCACCCCTGCCGCCGCCGCCGCCGCCGCCGCCTCCACCACCACCGCCGCTCCCACCTCCACCGCCCCCTCCACCGCCACCTCCTCCGCCCCCACCTCCCCCCTTCCCGCCCTTCTTGCCACTCTTGCCCCGTTTCTGCCAGTCTGCGGCAGAAACGGCAGCGGTGTCCTCAGAGACCGACACAGCAGCAGAAGCGCGGGTAGCGGTGAAAGTGGGAAGCTGAGGGGCGGCACACCCCGCAAAGAGACGGGGGGCCACCGCATCAGTGGCGGAGGCAACGGTGAGGAGGCTGCTCTCGATGGTCCCGAGAGCAGTCTGAAGGAGGTCTATAGTGAGTTCAGTGGGGTGCTTCTGAAGAAGCGCGTCGCGGGCAGTGGCAAGGCGGTCAGGGAGGCGGGTGACTAACCAGTGCACAGTGAGCCACATGGGGGGGGGAGCAACAAGGAGCTGTGCGTCGGTACAGACCGAACGAAAACCGGCGTCAAGCGAGCGGAGGTGAGTCACTAGGTCGGAAACAGTCGCAAACGAGCCTAGGTCGGGAAACACGAACGGCATGAGGAGGCGACTGAGGGAGGCGGAGGAGGGGGTGGAATAGCGAGCCACAATAGCATCCCAAACCCCCTTGGCTGTCTCCACCTGGTCAAAGTGAGCGGCCTCAGTCGGGGGGAGAAGCTCCGATAGCGTGAGGGCGGCGGCCGCGTCACGAGAGAGCCACACGTCCCGAGCCAGGACCCGACGGTCGTAGTCCGCCTGGGCCGTAGGAGTCGGCTCCGGGGCGGTCGGCAGGGCGGCGGGGGACGGGGGTGCCGCGAGAGCACCCGACGCGTGGGCCCACAGAGTGGCGCCGTCCTGACGCTGGCTGGTGAGGAAACGTGTGGTCTGGCGCTGCCAGGTACCGAACTCGATCGGGCGTCCCTCAGCATCGAAACGAAGGCGACGGGCCTCCATAGCGGAGCCCATGCTAGAGGCGACTGGAGCACGGCGGAGACGGAGCTAAGAACGAGGAGGAAAACTACTGAGGGCTAGGGACGCCAGCGGGGAAACCGACGAGAGACAGTCGGCGAGAAAATAGTCGTGGGGCGGGGCTCTAACCGAACCTAGGTGGCGCTACCGGAGGGAAGAGCGGCTGCCAGCCGCTGAGCCGGGAGCCAAGTGCAGTAGGAATGGCGTGGGACCGGTGCACAGGTGAAGGGGATAGAGATGCAGTAAGCGCACAGAGTGATGCGGTAAGTGTACGCAGGTGTGCGGTAAGCGCACGCAGGTGTGCGGTAAGTGCACGCAGGTGTGCAGGAAGCGCACGCAGGTGTGCGGGAAGCGCACACAGAGTGAAGCGGTAAGTGCACGTAGGTGTGCGGTAAGCGCACGCAGGTGTGTGGTAAGTGCACGCAGGTGTGCGGTAAGCGCTGACGGAAGAGGGCGCGCGACAGGCGGAGGGGAGGGCACGCGACGGTCTAAGGAGGGCGCGCAACGGTTGAGGAGGGCGCGCGACGGTTGAGGAGGGCGCGCGACGGTTGAGCAGGGCGCGCGGCGGTCTAAGGAGGGCGCACGACGGTTTTGGAGGGCGCGCAACGGTGTGGGAGGGCGCGCGGAGGTCTAAGGAGGGCGCGCGACAGGCTGGACAGCGCGTGAGGGCGCGGGCTCGGCGCGAGGAGGGCGCGGAGGGCGCGGAGGGCGCGGAGGGCGCGAGAGCACGGAGGGCGCGTAGGGCGCGGAGGCTAGCTAAAAACGAACGAGGATCTAACCTACTCGTGATACCATCTCAGAATAGGAATGCAACGGAATGTCGAAACTAGAAAGTGTGAGAGTACAAATATGCAACCCTAACAACTGTACTCCCTATTGTGCTACTCACTGTAGCCTACAAGCATAGAATTACATTTGACACCGCATGCCGTCCAGGTGTCAGCGGCTCATTCGTGCAACTCCATTGTGCTGTGCACGTCACTTCACTTCATGGCACCCTCTCCCATATCTCAAACCTCTCCCATACTTCATCCCATACCGCATCTTTGGAGGTGCACCTTTGGAGGTTCACTTCTTGGAGGTGCACCTTATCCTCATCCCATATCTCAAACCTCTCCCATACTTCATCCCATACCGCATCCCATACCTCATCCCACATGCCTCATCCCATACCTCATCCCATGCCTCATATCTTGTCTCATCCCATTTCTCATCCCATCCCTCATCCCATCCCTCATTCCATGCGTCACCCCATAACTTCATCCCATGCCTCATTCCATGCCTCAACCCATGCCTCATCCCATGCCTCATCCCATGCCTCATTCCATGCCTCATCCCATGCCTCATCCCATGCCTCATTCCATGCCTCATCCCATGCGTCGGCTCGTACCTCATCCCATACCTTATATCTCATCCACCCTATCCTCTCTTCCTCAGCCAGCTATCAGCAGTTTGATCATAAGATCGCACCATGACCTGCCCTTCATACCATCACCGAACAAGCGTGGCTGGAGTGGGTTCAGCTTATGTGAGCCACATGACCAGCCATGTGTGTGAGTTTGATTCTCATTGATACCGAATTGGCCCAAATCGTGTGTTCTTATGGGAAAAGGTAGTATGGGGGCAGCTGTGCCGTGCACCTCATCCCACGCCTCATTTCCATACCACATCCATCTACTCTTCAAACGCTTCCCATTGTTTATAGAATGCCTGCCCTTCATTCGTGCCCTTCAACTTGACTGGTGCAGAAACTGTGTGATATGCGGTGACACAGTGCAGCACACTACAAGAAGAGGGTGAGATGGAATGGAAGGTTTCCTTTTTCCATGCAGACACAGGCTCATTTCTTCCTGCTCCATCTTTGCCCTCTGTGCTATCCCACGCACACCAGCCAGCAGAACTCTCTGTCTGGCTGCCTGTCACTAGTTTACAGCCGTTTGAGTCCATGATATCATGGAGATTTGTTAGTAAAACATACATATTGTCTTGAAATAATGCTGTATCATACATCTACTGTATGTAGATAAGATTGGACCATTCTTGAATAAACATGACAGCAGTGTAAAAAGAAATTATACAGTCTGCTGCACTCAAAACAAAGCAGGTATACCAGCTTTCCCTCCTGCACCTAGTCTCTTACCCTCCATATTCAGCTGTCTAACTGCAATGCTGGATCTGAGAAAACCATTTTCCAAGCCTATGCAATACCCATGTTCCGCGCAACCGTCACTCTGGGGATTCGTCAGGTCGTGGAGATTCGTCAGGTCGTGGACATTCGTCAGGTCGTGGAGATTCGTCAGGTCGTGGAGATTCGTCAGGTCGTGGAGATTCGTCAGGTCGTGGGGATTCGTCAGGTCGTATTCGTCAGGTCGTGGAGTTTCGTCAGGTCGTGGAGATTCGTCAAGTCCAGATCAGTTTCTTGTGATGCTGACTTAATTCACTGAAGGCGATGGGTGAAGAGGGAACGAATGAATGACAGGAAAATGAGTGACCATCAAAACGCAAACAATCCACAATTCATACCCACAGTTGCACTCAGCACTCCTCTCATGCAATCTTTTGATGGCTTCACTCTGGCTGGTTTGCAGGTCAACATCTAGCTTCATGCGAGCATCCTTTTGCACCACAGCCCCCCCTTCCCTGCCTTCTCCTCCCTCTCTCTCTCCACCTGCGCTCTCATCTCCGTCAAATTAGAAGCGGATAAGCAGCAGTAGGGGAAGGGGGGATAAGCTGCAGCCGGGGACAGAAAGGGGCAGCAGCCAAACCAGAGGAGGTAGGGCGGCAACAGGGGAGGGGAAGGAGGAGCGTGAGTAAGCGGCAGGGCAAGGACGAGATAAGCAGCAGGATCAGGGGACAGAGGGTACAAACTGCAGCAACAGGGGGAAAGACAGTCCTGCACTGAGTGAGGCAAGGAATGAGATCACATATGGAGACAAATGTGGAAAAGTTAGGAGTGAAACAACTCAGTGGGCGAACCAAATGACGTACAGGTGTGAATTGGTCATTTTAAGGGGGAAAGGGGAGTGGAGAGGTGGGGGAAAGGGGAGTGGAGAGGTGGGAGAAAGGGGCACTGAAATAAGTCCGACTCCTCCTTCCCCTGCGAACAGAAGTAGCTGGGGAAACAGGGTTGAGTCAGGCTGTGGAAGAGCGGCCTCAAACGAGTGAGCGAGCACGAGTGGACAAAGGGTGGACAGGCAAAGGGCACAAACGACGCCATCCAAGGTCAAAACTCAAGAGGGCGAGAGAGCGGGGCAGGGTGGTGGAAGAGGATGAGGGAGATGCATTCTGGGTTTGGTGAGAGGTGAATGAAGATATGCACGCAGGGACAGGGAGAAGCAGCAAGAGAAGCATGCAGATAAATTGAGAGACATGCTGCAGGGCAGAAAAGTGTACAGAGAAAAAGCCATAAGAGTTGAGATACTGACCTCGTGAGGAGAGATACTGGCAAACAGAGTAATGGATGGCGCGGATTGCAGGGGTCTGGCAAATCAGAAGATATGCACGCAGAGGGAAGCAGCAGCAGAGATACTGTCGTCTTGACATACGATGAAGGGGTGGATGGATGACGTGGATTGCAACACTTAGATTGGAGATCTAATCTAGTAGCAGGAACAGATAGGATAAGTACAAAAAATGGATGATCCGATGCGGAATACATGACGAGCGGTTAAGTGGATAGAGGTCTGCTGCGTAAAGAAGCAGCTGTGCGGTAGGGAAGGATGACGAACGAATAGCTGGAAATTCTGAAAGAACGCCAGCGGATGCTCACCTCTACGGGATGATAGCAGAGCGAATAGCTGACTGGCGGAGTGGCTGAAGAGTAACGCACGATTTGGTGGCAGCAGGCAAGGGGCAGCTGAGGAGGCGTGCTACCGTATGTGGCTGATAATTTGTGTGGGTGGAATACGGCACAAGGCACGGGGATGAGATGAGAGGGAGGATAGGAGGCATAGGAGAGAGAAGAGGGGAAACGATTGAATTTACGGCAGGAAAAAATATGGCATGGTGGCAATAAGCTTGCGGGTAGCAAGGTTCGCACTGAAATAATCATCACGACAATTGGATGAAAGAAATGGCTGGCCAAGAAAGAGGAAGTAGGGAAGAAACAGGCGCAAAGGTGGTGACAGCAGCAGGCTATAGAGGAGCACATGGAAGGGTAGAAAACGGTAAGCGGAAAGCTGAACTGAAGCGGGATGAAATGGATAGAAGACAACGTGAGGAGCTGTTACAATGAGGCTGGGGTGGAACAGGAGGGGCAGGACACATGAAAAAGGTGAAGCAGGGAAAAAAGAGGGAAAGAGGTGCAGCATTGGGGCAGCACATGGTCCGTGCATACCTGGTGTGAGGTGGCAGGTGAGGCAGATGACAGAAGAGAAGCGAGGTGCCAGTTTAGAGCCAGTCGCTCCGCAGCAGACCGACAGACACGTTTTCGTGGCCGAGGGTGATTGGGCGCACAGGAAGGTAGGCAGATGGCAGAAGTGACAGCCAGACGCTTCTCAGCAGATGGACGGACCGAGCTCCACAGGTAGCAGGCGCTCGGGAAGGAGGCAGTCGGCAACAGTGGGTAGCAGGCGCCGCTTCTCAACAGACGGATTGACAAAGCTCCGCTGTCATGGGAAAGGTTGTGAGGAAAAATCAACGCCACACGAGGAATAGGAGAGGACGATATGCGAACGAGGATGCTCACAGGAGGAAACTGGCGGAGGTGGAAAAACAGCTGGATGTTAGCTTTAATTTAGAGAGAAGAGCGAGGGAAGAGCAGGAAGAGGAGGGTTTAGGAGGTTGAACGAGGAAGGGCAGGAGGAAGGCGCGTTACCTCTGAGGTGCCATGAGTCATGCATGACACGCCGCGCTGCGCCACCCATCACTCAATCGCGCCGCACGCCTTCCCTGCACGCCCATTCTATCCTGTCGCGTCGCACGCTCATCCCATCCTCTATGTCTTGGAAAGGGTTGCAATACCAAGCCATTCGGTTGGCCCCATGTACGAGGTGAATATACGTCGATGCACTGACGTAATGTCATGCTACTGTTCCACCTCGTACGAACCGAGGGCAAGCGCATGATCAAGCGCGCGACGCAAATATCACGATCGATCACGAGCGCACGAGAATCAACGCCGCGCATCAGGACCCTTCGAAATCTTTTCACGAGTGACGCCTTCAGCCATTCGCCTCACCCCAGCCTCGATCGCCACTAACACTTCCTTCGGCGCTCAGCGCGCCTTGCTTGCACTTCGACCGGGTCGAAGGAATCCAGCATTGGGTTCTTCTCAGGTACCATGGTAACGCGATGTAACCTCTAGGAAGTTATACTCGTCGAAATTCGATTAGCGCTACGTCAACTTGGTCTGAGATTAGGGTTACTGGAATCCCCAACACACGATTCCTCGAGTGGGACGGGACGGACAAGGTTCGTCGAGGTGCAGGTTAAAAAAGGCAAGTTTGAACGTTTGCGGTGCTCATTGTCGAGCGTGCAAAATCCCAGATGTCGTTTCAAAGTGGAACCAATCCGAACCGAACCTGGAAAACCCTCGAAAAGAACCAAGCACTTAGAGAGCACTTAGGGTCCAGCAGTTATGTGCCCTCACTGATACTTACTGATGCACTATCGCAGTCCAACTGGAAACACCTCATTGAACATGTGAGACACGCCCTGACGGAATTTACGCCGATTCCTGCCATACGGATTTAGTTCAACTCAACCCAGTCACAGGTATTTCCTGTAAATTGCGACGTAAGGGTAGAGGCATCTACTAGTAAGACTAAAATTTCGAGCTCCCAAATCCTTTCAATTCAAACCATAGCGTTGAACAAATCCATACCGATTTCGTGCTGTACGAGCGCCATCATGTTTAGAAAGCCTAGCGACATCCGCGGGAAGCAGCGTCAGGAGCGGACAGAAAAAAGCTTCGGCGAAACATCCGAGACAAGTATCCAGGCACCACTGACGAGCAGCTGGAGGCGATCCTGCCGGCCAAGGTGCTTTTTAGTAGTCCCGCTTTAACCTCGTATTACCCCCGCGGTTCCACGTAGGCCCACGCATTCTCCTCCTGATAATCGGCGAGTTAAATCCTCGCCGTTCGTTGAACCACTTCGTCCGTAATCCGCTCTGATGCTTGCGCTCTCCGGATCTGTCGTAGTGGTTAAAGATTTTTTTTTTTTTTTTTTTTTTTTTTTTTTTTTTTTTTTTTTTTTTGTCGGCTTTCCCAGGCCTGTTCACGGAAAGCCGATTGATTTGTCTGCTGGTTCAGGCTGACGTGGCGGTGACGAGGCTGGTGAATCGCGTGCTGGTGTACGGACTCGAGAACGGGCTGCCCATGCTCTTCAATTGCGACGTCAGCGGCATGGAAATCTACCCCACTGGTAACCCCACTGATACTCGCAGGAACCCCTCCCCCCCCCCTCTCTTCTCTTTCACTCCCTTCCCGCTCCTCTCCACTGGTCGTGAGGGTGTAATGAGTTCAATAGATTTGATATTTTTCCCCCTTCCTCCACTCCCATCCATCTTAATGTTTTTTACCCAACCCTGACACACGCACACCCTGCAACCTCACACCCCATCGGTTCTGTTACAAGATGGGATTCGCCATGCCAGCGTGCATGGGAATGCCCAAACGGTTAGAACTCTTCTTGCCTAGATAGCTCCGAATAAAGATAGGTGCTAACCTCAGAGCGTATTCCCTTATCCTTGTCACTGATTATAATCTACTAGAATCCAACAAGGCATGGCTTCGAGGCACTATGCCAAGATGCCATGCTATATGAAGTGGCGACGCGGTTTTCCTCCCAAGTCGCGCTTCCTAGTTCCTAGCATAAATATTTTTCTGGATCTTGTTGTATGATCATTTTATCCTGGAATCTACTTTCTATTCTACTTCTTGAATCTTCTAACAACATGCTCTCTCATCTACTGAGGCTAGGCTCTCAGTTTAGCTCAGCTTCCTCTTCCGCTGCAAGACTCTTCTATCTTTCTCTCGCTACGGCGCCTTCTCCTTAGTCGCGATGGCCGGCCAAACCAGCCGCGCAGTGCGCGGCAGCTGCACCGTAGCTTTGTTTCAGGTTCCCAGGGTTTGTACAGCGGAGCGTGCCTGACCTGGTGTAGGGATGAGCAAAGTGACGAACACCTGTTCGGTTCGCCTCGAACATGTTCGAGGCGAACCGAACAGGCCTTTTTTTTTGCCTTATCCGTTCGAGGCGAACATGTTCGGTGTTCGGCCGAACATGTTCGCCGTTCGACTTTTGCTCGTGGCCCTACATGGGCGAACACGAACACTGTTCGTGTTCGAAATGTGGGGACGCGAACACGAAAGTATTCGCGTCAATTTTGGCCGCGACCAAATTTAGGTCGCAGCCAATTTGAGTTTGAGCTCATTCTTTGAGCTCAAACTCAACCTTGCAGAGATTATTATGGCCGCCCCCAACCACCATAGCCTAGCTGTTTGAGCATCCGTTTGTAAAGGAACCTTGTCATTCCCTACAACTTAGCCTCTAATTAGGGATTTGAGTAGGGGAAATTCTCGGTTGTTTTTAGCTTTTTCGCCATCGATTCCACTTCTAGCGGGCCAACCTACAGTGGACGGGCTTGGCTCGTCTGTGCGCATTCCGTAGCTTGGCGTTGATTAAGGAGGACTGTGCTGTCCGTAGCACGCGAGTTTAGGCCGCGGTCGTTGCTCACGGGATTTAGGGTTTAGGGTTCCAAGGGGGAGTTATGGCTTCCGGCCAATCCGGATCTGCAGGGCGAGGGGCAGGCATTGGTCCCGGTGGTACACCAGGTTCTCCACCACGGCCTATGCAGGGCCGTGTTGGTGACGGACCCGCAGGAGCCGGCAGCTGTTTCGTCGGGGGGTTTCTTTCCGTAGGGGCGCCGGCATCCCGTCACTCGTTCCGTTTAAGTGGCGTGCGACCCCATAGCACTGGGGCGACGCCGCAGGAGAGCGGCAGTGAGGATGATGGTGAGGGGGAGGACGAGGGGGAGGAGGAAGAGGCGGAGGACGAGGAGGGTAGCGGGGACGACAGTGAGCCCGGGTGGGGTCCCGAGACGCATGGCGGAGGGGAGGGGGGGGGAGACGATGAAGACGAGGAGATGGATGATTTGGAGGTCGAGGACGAGGAGGAGGGGGTGGGAGAGGGTGGTGGAGGGGTGGCTGCAGAGGCGGCCTCCCAGCACGTAGTTGAAGGAGGCGGGAGCGTGGGGGTTAGGGTGGCGAAGAAGAAACCGATTGTTACGCCGCTGTGCAAACGGAAGAGGGTGTCCAAGAACAGGGTTCGAGCGTATCCATGCACGTTCACTGGGGAGGCCCTTGGAGAAGGTGTCATCGCCCCGGAGTTCCTTGATGAGGATGGCGAGTCGGAGAGTAGTAGGGGGACTGTCAAGGGAGCAAAGAAACCGGGGTGGCAGGTACAAATGTTCGGGCCTAAAGGGACAGACGAGAAGCGACAGTGCAAAATATGCACAGATAGGATTTCGTGGGCGCAATCCACAACAACACCCGGCGAGCGTCACTTCAAGAGCTTCCACACCGCTCACATGCACATGTGGCATCACCGCTTCCACAACGCCTCAAGCAACATAGCATGTTTCAGGATGATGTCGGAGGAGGGAGGTCGGAGGGGCTTCTTCGACTCGCGCATGCATTTCCGGTTAGTGTGGGAGGGTGCATGGGTTGGGGGAGTGTAGGTCGCATTGACCATGAACCGTCTGTCTAACCCCTCCTTCCGCCCCTATTGGCTCGTTCCAAGCGCAGATGTCTGGCGCACGTGATCAACCTTGCTGTGCAGGCCGCACTGGCAGTGGACGCCATCAAGAAGCTGTTGAAGATTCTCAGAGACATGGCGTCCTGGGTCGGACACTCGCCTCAGCGCTCGGCTAAATTCATGGGCCTTCAACGGACCCTGAATTCGGCGGCCAACCCCACCAAGCCGAAGCCAGCGTTGATGTGGTGCAGGACAGCCCGACGCGCTGGGGGTCCACCCATGACATGGTGGAGCGCATCCTGATTGTGCAGAACCCCATCAAAGTCTACTTTGCCCAGACACAGGTGTGTTACTTGGCGTTGCCTGGCGTTTTGGGTTTGTCAATGAGAGTGATTGCCCTAGTTTCCGCTATGCATTTGGACAAGCGTGTTTTGTGCCAATACCCTTTGACCACCCTAAACCCCTGTTCGTCAACACCTACCCGCCACCCCCACCCCTATACCATACAGGGCTTGAACAAGGACGACAAGAAGAAGGTGGAGGCCTTGAAACTCCAAGACCCTGACTAGGAGACATTGCAGGCAGTGAAGACCTTCCTCAGCCCCTTCGCCAAGGTCTCCAAGGCAGCTGAGGGGGATGCGTACCCGACTGTGTCGATGGTCGTGCCGTACTACAACGGCCTCATCGACGCCATGGAGTCGCGCCTGGCGAAGACCCCATCTGCGACGCTGGAGCCGATGATCAAGGCGGCGCTGGAACCCTTGAAGAAGTACGAGTACATCACCAGCAACGAGTACTGGATCGCCACCTTCCTGGACCCATCCATGAAGGCGGTGTGGTTCGACGACAAGCACTGGGAGAAGCAGCATCCCGAGACGGGGAGGAGGGTGAGGCCGCGTCCCGCCTCGAACGAGGTGATCAAGCTGGTACGCGACCGCGTGGCCGAGTACCAGGCCAGGGCTGCAGAGCTTGGCCCCCCGCGGGACCCACTTGCCACCGTGGCGGAGGAGGAGGCGGGAGACGAGGGGGACGAGGACGAAGACGCCCAGTTTCTCCCAAGTCGCCGACGACTAGCGGAGCGACTGTCGGCGAGCCAGGAGGCAGGGGGGATGGTGCAGGATGATGAGGTCAGCAGGTACTTGTCCGAGAGGGTGCGGTCCGACGTCACTGCGCTAGAGTACTAGCGCACCTCCACCAACATGCAAACGCTGAAGCGCATGGCCCGGGATTATCTCGCCATCCCTGCCACGTCCGCTTCGAGCGAGCGCGTGTTCTCTCTTGGACGCAACCTCATCTCCTGGAAGCGGCACCGCTTGGCCTCTCAGAGGACACAGTGTATCATGATCCTCAGATCTTGGTACAGTTCCCACCCTGGCCAGAGGATCGGCGAGGGGCGCCGACCGAAGGGCGTCCCCCCACCTGAGTTCGCCATTGAGGGAGAGGGGGACGAGGAGGACGACACGGAGGACGAGGAGGAGGGGGTGGAGGATGAGGCAACTGGTGGAGAGGATGGGGTTGTTGGGAGTAGCAGTGGCGCACAGACGTAGGGATTTGTTTGCCCTATGGTGCATTTTCACGCACAATACACGATGTTGTAATTGTTGGTGCGTTGCGTGATCACAAAGACTCCATGCTGTCCATTTCCTATACTCCCGGCCCCTTAAATTCGTTTGCGGACTACTGTGACTATATTGAAATGCCCCCCTGGGCGAACTCGAACATGTTCGGGTCGAACGTGTTCGTGTTCGCCTGTTTCCCTGGAATGTTCGCCTCCAAGGGCGAACCCCGAACACCCTAAGTCACACTATTCGTTCGCCGAACACGAACACTGTTCGGTTCGACATATGGCCATGTTCGACGGGGGCGAACACGAACATGTTCGTGTTCGCCCCCTGCTCATCCCTAACCTGGTGCCATCCCTTCTGCTCAAGGGTGAGGAGGTGGCGCTTGAAGCGACTCAAGAGTCAGCTGTCACGCCAGTCCTCTCACTCACCCTGAAACCCTACTTCCCATCCATCCGCAGTATTTGCACTGTGGCGTGTACCCGACCTGCTGCCATCGTTCCTTCTCACGGGCGAGGAGGTTTCCCGCTATCTTCTTTCAGGGGCTGACCTTATGGCGCCAGGCGTGGAGGTACGGTGAGGGTATAGTGCAGCCAGCACCTAGTGCAGTGTGAGCTCTTGTTTCAGACTGTTTTTACCAGAATTATCTTGAACTTCTCGCAAAATTACCACACATGGTCCTTAACCTTCTCTCCTCTCCCCTCATTACTATCCTCCCTCGCTTCCCTCCTTCTCTTCCCCACCCCCCCTTTCCCCAACCCCCCGCTGTCCCCCCTGGTTCCCACCTACGATGTCCCTGGCAGGTGCCTGTCGAAGGTTTGCCAGCGTTCCAACCAGGGGAGGTGTGGTCAGTGAAGGTTCCAGGAAACTCCTGCCCCATTGCTGTACGTGTAACGTGCCTCTCCCCTTGCATCACAATGCCCCCCCATCCTGCTCCATGCTCTACATCTTGCCTCGCCTTACCCTTTGCACCCTCCTGCTCCATTTTTTACTTCTAAGGCGCATCAAAAGTGACGTTGTCTCCCAATCCGTTTTTTATAGTGTCTGCTTCCCTCTGCCCGCACTCTCCCGTCGGGGCTTCTTGGCAGTCGTGACGCATGCCTGCTATATGAGTGAATTTGGTTGAGTGGAAGACGGTCACAGCACAGTAATGAGCAACGGTAGCGAATTAGATTCAGACTCCGCTGGAACAACACTAAGGGATTCATCTTCACTCTGCAGAAACTTGTAATGCGCACAGCTACTTCCCGTGTAATGCGCAGTTTTCGTTATTCTTTCTATGTGCATGTGAGAGCATGGACTTGCACATGTGTGTGTGTACGTATGTGTGCATGCGTGCGTGTGCTTGTGAATGTTCGTGTTCACTCACACCAGGTGGGCATCACAATGTTAGGGAGTGAAGAGGTTATCCAGGCAGGCATGAGAGGAACGCTCCTCAGAATAACCCACTCTTACCGTGACTCGTTATGGTCAGTATGGCTGAAATTTGAGGCGCTCGTTAAAAAAGTCGCATCACTACTACAAGCCCCTCCGAATATCATTGTGAATCTTTATTGGTCAGTATGACTAACATCCAGTGTTCTTTATTTAGCGTGTTCCTAGCGTAGGTGGAGCGTCACACTGGTGACGGCCTGTTTTCTTACACATGTCACCCAAGCGATCTCAAAAGACGACAGAAGCCAGCAGTTACCCGAGCTCACGCCAGCATTCTCTCATCCCCTAATGACTGGTCTGTTGTCAAGACGACCCCTACAAATAACTTAGCCCCTACATTGATTGGTCTGTTGTCCTCCCCGGTGGTCTGTGGGTTTGACACCTCGAATAATGAGGTTCTGACTGTGGTCAAGACCACACCTGTCTATTATTGGTCAATTTAAAATCGCCGTCAGCCGTCTATGTTCTGGTGGTCCAACATGCGTTGACCCCATTCTCCTGTCCTACGGGCACCCTTTCACTTGCTGCCCAACGCAACACTCTGGATATTCACATATGGCCCCTCCCTCCCCTGCCCTCCCATCCTGCCCTCCCTTCCACGGTACAGGGAGTCTACAAAAGGATCATATGTGCCCAACAAGGGCTTCCTGCCAGAAATGGTTGCTTCTGACCCTGATGCACAGCCCACGCTGTTGGATGCAGCACCTGCTGTTGCACTTGAAGATTCACCTGAAGGTTCAGCTGAGGATGACTCTGGTGCTGCTGCAGCTTGTGGGGGAGAGAGTGAGGGTAGGAGTGATGGGGAGGGAGGTGCAGCAGCGGTGGCTAGGGAGGGACTAGCAGCAGTGGCAGCAGCAAGAGGAGGAGAAGCAGGAGTAGGAGAAGAAGCTACAGCAGAGGCAGCAGCAGGAGCAGAAGGTGCAACAGAAGGAGCAGTAGCAAGAGATTCATCAGAGCACCTATCAGATTCCCTGCAGGAACAGTGCATCCGTGGCAGTGCTATTGCTGCTGTTGTTGCTGCTGTTGATGGTGATGCTGCGGCAGCTGCTGCTACAGCTGTTGTGGGCAGGGAGGGGGATAGAAAAGCAGCTGGTGCAGGCGAAGAGTGCGTACCTGCAGCAGCGCCATCAGCACTGGCGCCGGCAGCGCCAGCAGCACCATCAGCACTGATGCCAGCACAAATGGACGAGCTGTTGGATCTGTGTCTGCTGCAGGCCCTCTCCGTCTCTGTCAAACCGTCACACCTGCCCCTCCCAGCTAGCTCCCTCTGGTAAGCTGCCCAAAATCAATCATCTCATGTGATCATTGCTTGGTACTTCAGCCTTCCTGCTCTCTTCACTACAGGTGATTGCGCATGGGACAAGAATGGCGGCTTAAATTGCATGTAGCCACGTATTTCCCGCAAATCTAGTAGCGGACTGCTGTTGGCATCGCATGACATGTCCGCGCGTGTTCTCATGTGTCAAGTACAAAGTGCATGTCATGTGAGTCATGTGATTCGTTGCTGTCCTGCCACCATGCTATTGGTGCTGGCAGGTCCAATCACGTGCTGCCATGTCGGCCACCTGGCACCACAGTGGACATCAGGAAGTCGTCTCACAAGAAGCTGAGCAAGTGGCTGCATGCCAAGGCTGTTGATGGGCTGGTGAGTGCGTCCGAATGATGGAGTTGTGAAAGTGAGTGAGCTTGTAAATGAATGTGTTTATATTATTGGGTGACTGAGTGTGGTTGATTGATTGGGTGATTGAGTGTGTCTATGTTTCTTTATTGTGATTTCGTCACTTCTACTTATGCTCATTCCGTCCTTGTGCACCCACCCATGTAAACCAAAAAAACACATTTCAACCTGGAAAAAAGTCCACCTCTAGCATCAACCAGCCATGGCATACACCCACCCTTTCCCTGCACCCATCTATTGACCTCTCCACATGCTCAGATATGCGGCAAGGAGGACAAGCACCGCAAGGAGTTCATCATCTCGTCTATCAACCACCGCCACCAGGCCCTCCTCGCATTCTGGCCATATAAGACAGCCCAAGCCCCCAGGACTGCACCCCAAGGTAGCTTAGGGATAGCTACTGGAAGCGCCACCATCACAACCATCACGACGGTAGAAGAGGTGTTCAAACCGTCTCTCCACGTGTCTCCTGTATTTGAGTCTGTAGGGCTCGATCCACACGCCTTCTATTCCCCCTCAGCTGTGCACAACGCTGCTCTTTCCTACATCTCCCTCCACTCCCTCTCCGAGCCCTCCGACCCGTCTATAGTCGTCCTCGATGCAACGCTCTGCGACGCACTGTACAAAGGCGCGATAAAGAAGGGTGCGACGCACCCAGCACAGTGTCCCAAGAGGGACATAGGCCCCATGTTACTGCAGCAAATGCAGGCACAACACAGGGTGGAGAGGGGGGGGAGGAGCGTGGAGCGGAAGGGGGAGCTGCAACCTGTGGAGATACTTGTCAGGGGGCGACAGGGCAGCAGGAAAGTGACACGGGTGACAGGCGTGGAGGCTTATCTGGTGGAGGCTCAACCACTTGCTGCTGAGCTGCAGAAGAAGTTTGCCTCAAGCGCGTCTGTGGCTCAATTGCTAGGTGGGTTCACCTGCAACGGGTGCCAGGGCTTTACTGACCCTACGGGGTTCCGAACCTACCAGGTCTGGCTGCAGGTTCATGCATTGTCTTTCGTTTAGGAGCACCTCTGATTGCACAGGTGCCAGCCTTGTGAGTAGCTGCAGAGCTGCAGAAATGCTAGAAAAAAACGTTCTTGCTGCAGATGTTTTGTGTGCCGTTTGTCTGCTGAAGTTCCCATCTTCCATTCCTTTCTTTGGTAGTCCTATCCCCCCTCGTTTCCCACTCCCCTCCTGTTTCCCCATTTTTCTTCATCTCTTTTATTCCACACCACCCACTCCTTTCATTTTTTGCCTCTTCTTTCCTCTCTGCATATTGCCTTTGCCCTTGCTTGAAGCAGGTAAGAAGGGGCAGCATGAGGTGTTTATTCAAGGAGGAGTCTTGGATAAGTTGTCTCGGCTGCTTGTGGATGTGCATGGCATCCCGAACAGGGCTAATTTTTTGTTTTGGGCAGCCCTTGTGATCAGTGTTGCACCTGTTCAAAAACATGTTTATCAGTGTGACACATGGTTCAAACCTTGATCCATCAGGGTTTTCCTTGTTTTTTAAAATCCAACCCTGTTGCATCAGTGTACCATATTTGCAAACCCTGATGAATTGATTATATCGTTGCACTCACTAAAGAATTTACTCATCATCATCATCATCATACATGCCACATGGGTTTAGCTCGTCGTCTGATTCTTCAGCAGGCTCTGGAACTTTCTCCTTCCCCTTCCGGTCCACCTGGGTTGCATGCGCAACAGATTTCGCGGGCCTTCTGGTTTTCTGCTTGCGCCAGATGTCCACCACGTCGGCCCATACATATGTGTACTTGAGCATATGCAGCGTCATGAGGTCGCCAAGGCGGGCATCGCACAGCGATGTGCGCATCCAGCTTTTGATGATGTTCTGGCGACTGAACCCTCTCTCACACTCCACTGTGCTCAGTGGCAGCACAGCGAGGGCCTGCCAGAGTGTCACGAGGTTCGGATAGCTGCGTCGCCAATCCTTGCTCTTCAACATGCTCGTAAGTCCCTGGTGGAAATCTTCCCCCGCGTGATGACGTGACAAGATGTGACAGAAGCTCCGCAGCTCCTTCTTCGCCGCCTTGAGATCGAATCCTGACGTGGATGGGGTTTGGGGCGTCGGATGTAAGGGAGGGTAATGTGGTTAATGTGGTAGTGCCACGTACAGTGCGCTAGACGAAATAATACGCATGTACTAAAATGAAATCTCACCTGGAAGCATGCCGCCAAACAGCTCATCGTTCGCTGCCAGCCACTCACGGGTCTTCAACTCGCGCTGGTCCTCCCTGGATGGCCAAGACTCAACTTGAAACAGCTTCGCGCCGCCCATCTGCTGCAAGTTCCACATGCGGAACTTCATCCGCGCCACGATCTCCTTCGCGAAACCCGTGCACAACTTCTCACAGTCAGCAAGCGTGCCCCCGAACTTGTGTTTCTTGATGGGTGTCTCGCTCAGCTCGAAACGATGTGAAGTCTGCCGCCCTTCCGCGTCAACCCCTTCAACCACCACCGTCCGATTGTCCCCACCGTGTTCCTTGATGAACTTGGACAGCAGCTTGCTGACCCCGCCTCCGAAAGTCTCGCCGTACACGATGTAACGGTGCGAGATGATGGTGATCGTGCGGTCAACTTGTTTGGCGACTTGCGTGATGTCCACCTGTACAACATCGGGCATGTAAAACATTTTAGCAAGAGTAGAAATGATTGTAGTGTTAGAATGAAAGAAACAGGAATGAAGAAAGGAGTGGTTTTCACTAGCAAGCAGTTGGATACATATAGCAAACCCTAATTGGGCTGTACTCACTATGGAGTACCCCACTGCAGGCTAGACAATTATAACATTCTGACACACCCCCATAGCCAAAGTGGGGTGTAATCAGCACAACAAGCAGGCATAGTAATAGTTCACAATTATAAGCAAAGCTAAAGGCAGTCACAGAGGGCAAGTGAGGAGGAGGAGGGACTGTGAGAGGAGAGAAGATGAGAGACGACGGCTGAAGCTGCAGACACACGGGCAACAGGAGCTGCTGGCACAGTGGCTACCGGGACAGTGCCCCGGACTACTGGAGTAACTGGCTCACGGGCTACGAGGAGCTACAGGAGCAACGGACCCACGAGCGACAGGCGCAGCAGGCTCTCTGGGCTACCAGGACAGCGCCCCGGACTACAGGTGCTGCGGACGACAAGACGGCTACCTCCACACAACCTCCTCCAACTGACCCACACCCTTGACACACACCCCCTGCTGAACCCTAGCTCCACTCCCACGGCACCCCCCTTAAACCCTAAACCCTCGGCTCCCACACACCCACCCCCCTCAGCGGCAGCTGCAGCAGTGGGAGACGGAGGAGGAGGAGGAGTAGGGGACGGATCACACACCCGCCACCCCCATACTTGCCACCCCCATACCCCCAAGCGTAGGGCAAAAACGGGGGCAGCAGCTGGGGCGGTGTGTGAGCGGAAGCGGGGCGGCGCGTGGGCCCCCAGGGCGCCTCGACGAGTGACGGGAGGGGGGGACGCGCGGCCCCCCAGGGCGCCGCGACGGGTGACGGGAGGGGCGACGCGCGGCCCCCCAGGGCGCCTCGACGAGTGACGGGAGGGGGAACGCGCGGCCCCCCAGGGCGCCGCGATGAGCGACGGGAGGGGCGACGCGCGGCCCCCCAGGGCGCCGCGACGGGCGACGGGAGGGGGGGGGTCGACGCGCTAGAGCCCAGGGCGCCGCGACGGGCGACGGGCAGGGCGACGCGCGGCCCCCTTGAGCGTCGCGACGGGCGACGGGATGGCGGGGGGGGGGGGCGCGCGCGGATCCCCCACGGCAGAAAACCGCCGCGCGCCTCGGGGCGCACGGCGGGCAGAAACTCGCCGCGCGCCCCGAGCGCACGGCAGGAAGAAGACGGCGCGCGCCCGAGGCGCGCGAGAAGCAGAACAGCAGCGGAAGCAGTTAGGTGGTGGGCCCACCCACAGGATCGACCCAAGGGGGTCGACCTGCTCTGATACCATGTTAGAATGAAAGAAACAGGAATGAAGAAAGGAGTGGTTTTCACTAGCAAGCAGTTGGATACATATAGCAAACCCTAATTGGGCTGTACTCACTATGGAGTACCCCACTGCAGGCTAGACAACTATAACATTCTGACATGTAGCACTACTTTCTTAAAGTTGACTACACACTTGCCTTGCGGTGCTGGAAAAACCGGTTGAGCGCGTTAAGCTCTGCAAGGATGTCTGCCAGGAAATACAAACAAAAATGAAACTTGAACGTTTGCACTGTTGAAGCGATCTTGTGGCCGTACTCCACAATCATGACGATCGCCGCCCCGAAAACTCTGCACAGCCTCGCTATTGCGTCTCCCCGCGACAGCCACCGTACGTTGAATAACCCTTGGTGCTCCAGGTTTGTACGGTGTATCTCGTGTTGCAGCTCCTTGAACCGCTCGTACCAGATGTTAGAGCGGCATATGATCTCTCCCACGGCACGCACAGCAGCATCGATCATGTTGAGGTCTGGGAATGCTTTCGCTGCATCCTTGACCACGAGAGCCTCCCTGCATCAGAGTTGAAAAGTATGTAATCTACATTAGAATATGGGATTTCACGTAACAACATGCTTACGCAAACCTTGCAAAGCTACACTTGTCGTACCGATGCGCTACGCAGTGACACCCGACGAGATGCGGAACGCGCTCTTGCACGCGGGTTACAAGGCCGCTCTTCTCCCCCGTCATCACAGACACACCGTCGGTCCCCATGCCGGCCACACGTTTGATGTCGACGCCGATAGAGTCCAGATGGCTCGTGAGCACCCCGAAAATAGAAGACGCGTCGCACTTATGCACAGTCAGCAGCGCCAAGAACTCTGTGACCGCGACGCCGTTCTTGAGGAACGTGGCAAACACAATCAAGTGTTTGCCACGCGCGCGGTCGGTGCTCTCGTCGCAGGTAAGGCCGACGAAGGGTGAAGCAAGAAGATGCTGCAGCTGCTGTGTTTTTTGGTAGTTTGCCATCGCCGCGGCCATCTCGTTGAAGCCGTACCTGCAACAACATGCGGGGAACGGTCAACTAATTGTCAGATACATTGCTACTCAAGGTGACACATCGCAATATAAAAACCTACTACGGTAGACTTACTGTGTAATGTAAACGCCGTAGGACTGAAGCGGGATGTCGGCGACTCCCTCTTCTGCAAGGAAATGTATGAGCTTCGGGAACATGGCGATCGGGGCGTCGTGATCGCAGATGAATTCAATGCCGCGCATGAGTCGAGTAAGCCGAGCGCCTTCCTTGTCTGTGTTGGCGAAATCGTCGAGGCGTTTCTGCTTCTCGATCTCGGCCATGAGCGTGCGCTGCCTCTTCATTGCTTCGTCGTGGCGGCCACTCAGCTCGTGACATCTCATCGAGCCGAGCTGCAAATTGCGACCCCCCATTCCGTTGCGCCCGAATTTAGCGTCGTCCTTGCCGTGCTCCACGCAAATACTACATCGCAGGATGGGCAACCCATCCTCGTTCTTATCAAGCAGCAGCCATTCGAATTTCGGCAGCCACTGCGTGATGTATAGCTGCTGCGCCTTATCGAACCTCTCCTCTGCCTTTTTGGCTTTAGTGAGCTCCCTGGACACACGCGAGGGAGGTTGGACGGGAGCCGGAGGCGGAGACGGCTTCGCAGGGGGCGTGCCGAACGGGAGTACAGCTTGCGCGTAGCGACGCCTCTTCTTCGAGGCTGCTGACGAAGACTCACCGACCTCTGTCACGCTGACAGAGGCGGGTGCACTGTCCGGCGCGAGGACATTGGAATCAGAGGGACGAGCAGGAGGCAGCTTGTCGCCGCTGCGCGATGACGGGCCGGCAGTGCAGACGGGCGGAGGGTTCACATGCAGCCCTCGCAGGAAGTCTAAGCCTGTTCGCGCTGCAGCATCGTTAGGTGGCTCGTCAGCAGCTTCTCCTACATCGTCGTCTTCACTCTGCGCCATAGCTGCTGGTGTGTATCAACAGAAATGGCTACCTCGGTTGGAAAGGGAGTGGTCTCTCGTTACCAAATGTGAGACCACAACCCTGAGGGACACCCCAGTCCCCAGCGCATAGGTTTCCTATCGTGCTGGCAAACGAGGTTCACAGCCACCCACTTCCCGGCCAACTGAGCCAGGTTTCCTACTAACCCGGTCATGTCGTCATGTCAGACAAACAGACCGAGTTGAGTCGGTGGCGTTGTCTACACTGCGGCTGTATTTCAGGCCAATCGTGGCCCACTTCGTGCCAGCACATGTATTGTCGAGGCTGGAATTCCGGCATTGACAGTTGGGACTCGGGATTTCGGGATTAAGGGAAAGGGGGGGTGGGGGAAGTTGGGGGGGGGGGGGGGTGGGGGGGGTTTGGTACTCGCTTCAGGGTAAAACTCGTTATGACGAACGGTAACCCTGAGGCATCAGTGTGCCTTAAAGGTAAACCCTGACACATCAGGGAAATTCAAGCTCCCAAAAAAATTACCCTAAGCCATCAGTGTTACTACCAAAAACCACCCTGATAATCAGGGTATCAGGGTGATTTACACTGATAAAATTAGCCCTGATCCCGAAATCTCATGTCACTGCAACTGATTATACGAGAAGGTGATGCATGTAAGCATCGTGAAAATCTTGTACATATGGTACTGTAAGCGCCTGTTTAGTGGACCTGAGACAAAGTTTTGTACGGGTATGTTTATGTACATACTTCTGTTTTACAACTCATCACAGCTTGTAATTTATCCATCCAAGGGAAGAGAGGAGGGAGAGAGCTGCATCCATGTACGGGGAATTTTGGAGTGGCTCGTCTTGTCTGAATCTCATGGCATGATCGAGAGTCAGTGCTCATTTGCAAGTATCAAACACCGTGACAACCAGGCAACGGCTAGTCTGCATATACGGTGGAACCGCCCAATCCAATCCCTTTGGTATGGAGTAGTGATAGTACTCAAATAAGATAAGGTATGGTATTGGGTACACTATCAACAATCTTGCCTGGAGAATGTTGCTTACCAACAAGCATCCGAGATGTTTGCATGAGCGATAGAACACGCAAGACCGAAGTAAAACCCCTACCAAGCAAAACTCTCACTCCCTTGATACCGTAACCACTCCAGCACGAAGCAACTCGGGCCCTTTCAGAGACCTTATTCGCCTCCACCTTCAAATGCCGCAGCCGTGGCACGTTCCCCAGCAGCCCGCCAATGCCGTCTGCAGTTACTCCACCGCACCCCACCACAGTTAACCGAGTCAACACCTCCGGTTTACTCCCTGCTAACACCGTGTCTGAGAACCCATCACTGCCTTAATCGTCACCATTAATCCCTCCAGCATACCACATGCACTGAGCAGCCTCACCAGCTGCCCCTCCCCCAGCTCACCGCAGTTCACGAGAGCCAAGCTCTTGAACCTTCCACACAGCAGCTCGTGTTACAGATTCAAACGACTGTGCCTCACTACTCAGACTTGGGACAGGATAGGGGGAGGAGGAGGATGAATGAAGGGGAGGGAGGGGTGTGGTGGGGGTAGAGGGGCACATGAGAGGCGAGGTAGAGGGGAGGGGCGGAGGAAGCCAAGAAGGGTCACAAGTGGAGGCGAATTGAATGCTCTCAAGGGTTAGGGATTCCAATGGAGGGCAAAACAATTCAACAGCAATTGCGAGAGTGCTCGTATTTATGGGTGTGTTCCCAATGGAGGGTGTGTTTCCATTCGGGGGTGTGCTCCCCTTTGGGGGTGTGTAAGTCGAGTTTCCGCCGCCCAGTCGCTCAACGTCTCCCGAGCCTTCTTCCGTCTCTGCCCCTGGCAGCTGTTCTGATGTTCTTGCTGTTCTCAAACCCTCTCCCACCACCCTGCCGGCTTCTCTTCCTGCTGCTGCCCCTTCTGCTGCTGCCCCTTGTGCTGCTGCCCCTTCTGCTGCTGCCCCTTGTGCTGCTGCCCCTTCTGCTGCTGCCCCTTGTGCTGCTGCCCCTTCTGCTGCTGCCCCTGTGCTGCTGCCCCTTGTGCTGCTGCCCCTGTGCTGCTGCCCCTTGTGCTGCTGCCCCTTGTGCTGCTGCCCCTTCTGCCGCTGCCCCAGGCATCACGCATGGCCTCCATGAGCACCAACAGCTGCTCCGCCAGCGCATGCAGCAGCCCGTGTGCCTCTGCTCGCGACACCGCCACAAGCGCGGCCACATCGCCGTCTGCTCCCCCAGGGAACGTCTCACTCACCCCCAAAAGATCAGCCGGCAGCTCATTCACCCCATCACGGGAATGAACCCCACCGCGCCTCCCCCCATCACAGATCAACCTCCTCCTCCCCCCGCCTCCCTCTCCCGTTTGCCCTCCTCCCTGTGCCGTACTGTTCGCCCTGTTCGCCCCCACAGCAGCACGGTAGATTATTGATTCGTGAGGCAAATATATCCTGTTAGGTGATTATTGATCAGATAATGTGTGCTCATGCCGGAGTGGTTATCGGGACAGACTAGAAATCTGTTGGGCTCTGCCCGCGCAGGTTCGAATCCTGCTGAGCACGTGAACGTTTTTGCTGACGAAGATGTAATATTGTGCCTCGAGCAATTTCTGCATCAAAATTGTTTTGCACTTCAAAACTTGACGTGACTGGTGCATGAAAACAAATATCAAGGGGTTGGGTGTTCCCTCTCCCTCACTTGCTCTCTTCCCCCTCTTCCCTCCCCTTCAGTATCTCCCTTTCTCTCTTACAGTCTCTCTGTCCCATCCCTCTACAGGCCATCTGTCTCTGCAAAGCAGCCCATATGTCCTCTCCTGTTGAACCCTTCCCCACCCTCTCTTCTCCCTCACCCCACTCTCCCTTGCAGCTCTCTCATTGGCTCATCATCTCCCCAGAATTTCCCCTCAGTCCCCTAGAGTACCGGCTAGCTCTTGTTTGTTGCCCCTTCCCCCTCTCCCACCGACCTGCTCCCACATTCATCCTCTCTTTTCCTCCCCACTCTCCCGCCTTTCCCTCCCCTCTCCACTCTCCCCCTCTTCCCTCCCCTCCCCACTCTCCTCCCCTTCCGTCCCCATCTTGGCCCCTTCCCTCCCCACCCTCCCCCCTTGCCCCTCCCCCAGCTCTTTGATCGGCTTATGACCTTAAGCTCTCCCCTCATTCCCCTCAATTACCAACTTGCCCTCGCCTGCGCCGTGTGGTGCAATGCGGTGGAGACTGTTAGAGGCATGTTCCTCTCCTTTCCTGAGGAGTTGCACGCAGAAAAGGTAGGTGGGATTTTGGAACTTAGTGGGGTTGATTGTTGGGTGTGGTTGAGTGAGGTTGACTGAGGTGTCTTGCCCTCTGAACCAACTGCCCTTCCAGCCAGTGATATGCGGTGCAATGAGGTGGAGACCATTTAAGCGATTTTTGTTTCTTTCCCTAGTAGTATTTTCAATTGTTTTTCTCTCTGCCCGCTTGTGAATCACGTGCATGTTGGAGTGCTCAATCATTTTGCTAGGCGCACGCAGGTGCACAAGCTAGGGGAAGAACTGGAATGGCTGCGTTATCAAGGAGTACCTGAGAATATACCCTGTATTGGGCCAATCTTCAGGGGTTAATAACCCAACATGAGATTATAATGAAAGGGGCTGCATGGGATAGGTTTGATGGGACAATGGCGAGCGAGGGAGAAGAGGAGGGAGGAGAGGAGGGAGGGGGAAGAAAGGAAAGAAGGGGATGTGGTTGGGGGTGATTCGGATTGGTTCTAGGAGGTAGAGGGGGAGGAAATCTCAAGGAAGGAGCGGTTGGGGGAATCGCTAGAGGAGATTCGATGTTGCAAGAAATGAAGGGGAAGGTGAGTGTACAGAAAGGGTGATATTAACAAGAAGACGGTTTCTATAAGGTGATTTTAGTGATAAAGAAGTGTTTATAATAGCAATAAGGAGCGGTTGGAGCAAGTGCTGGAGGCTGATCAAATGCTGCAAGAAACGAAGGGGAAGGTGAGTGTACGCTAGTCTCAGTTGCTATGTGTGTGATATACCAAGCTCACGTGCTTCCCTGTGCATCTCCACCACCCACCACCAGGGAATGATACCTGCCGAAGCTGCCTCCAACATACTCTTAGCCAGCCTCAAGCAGGCTCGGACTCATGTGTGTGTGTGTGTGTGTGTGTGTGTGTGTGTGTGCGCGTGCGTACGTGCGTGCGTGCGTGCGTGCGTGCGTGTGTGTGTGTGTGTGTGCGCGCGTTTGCCATACACACTTGCTGTTATATATAACATATGTCGGCACTCGTGCTCCTATATGCATCTCCACCCCACCAGGGAATGATGCCTGCCTGGCGACTCAAAAGACAACTCTTATCCCTTTGGACGAGGATAAGCTGCCTGACGAAGTTGCTTACAACATCAGCCTAGCGTATGTTTTTTTAGAATTCTAAAAAATACATACACAACATCAGCCTAGCCAGCCTCAGCAAGCTCAGGCGGGTTGAAGAATTGGAGTCGTATCTCGCGTTCATGCGGACAGCCCAGCAGGCAGCCCAGCAACGTGACGTACAACGTCCTGATTGGTGCATACGCGCTCTCCGGGCAGTTACAAAAAATGGATATGTGTATTGAGGCGATGCAGGGAGCAGGAGAAAGGTTGAATACCATGAAGACATGTTGGGCCTTGATGGGTCGATATGCGAAGCGAGGAGCGGTTCAGAGGTTTTACAAGGTGTGGGAAGAGTTGAAGCATGCTGGACTGCCTCTGGGGGGGGCGTGGGTGTGTGTGGGTGGGGGTGTGGGTGTGGGTGTGGGTGTGGTTGTGGGTGTGGGTGTGGGTGTGGGTGTGGGTGTGGGGAGTGGGTGTGGGAGTGGGTGTGCGTTGGCGTGGGGCTAGGGAACGTTGTGAGTGTACATGAAAACTTTGTCTGCTCCCTAAAAATACATCACATGTGGATTTCTGCTAGTTCCCATGTTCCTAAACCCCTTTCTTCCTCTTCTCCCTCTCAAAAAAGCCCAACCCCAAACCCCTTCACCTTTACTAGCCCCGATCGTTTTTCCAGTTGATAACAACGCACTGGACAAGACACACTGGACGCTACACGGTGTGCTTCCTATCAGCCATAACGTGCATGATGCAGCCCAGCCCCGCCTTCTCCTGAAATTCTTGTAAGGCGCCTCATAAGCAGGCACATGCTACACGGTGTGCTTCCTGTCAGCCATAACGCGCATGATGCAGCCCAGCCCCGCCTTCTCCTGAAATTCTTGTGAGGCGCCTCATAAGCAGGCACATGATACACGGTGTGCTTCCTGTCAGCCATAACGCGCATGATGCAGCCCAGCCCCGCCTTCTCCTGAAATTCTTGTGAGGCGCCTCATAAGCAGGCACATGCTACACGGTGTGCTTCCTGTCAGCCATAACGCGCATGATGCAGCCCAGCCCCGCCTTCTCCTGAAATTCTTGTGAGGCGCCTCATAAGCAGGCACATGCTACACGGTGTGCTTCCTATCAGCCATAACGCGCATGATGCAACCCAGCCCTGCCTTCTCCGTCAGTTTCTCATGCACCCACAGCCACAAATGTTGATAACAACACACTGGGAAAGACACACTGAACACTACACGGTGTGCTGCATTAGACGGTGTGCTTCCTATCAGCCATAACGCGCATGATGCAGCCCAGCCCTGCCTTCTCCGTCAGCTTCTCATGCACCCGCAGCGCTCGCGCACACAGCGATGCATCCCCTGTTCTCAGTGCGCGGTACAGGTACCTGCAGGGGGATGGCGATGTGGGGGGGCACGTGAGAGTGGATTAAGGGCACAGGGGGGTGCAGGGGGCATGGCACAGTGGGGTGAAGGAGCACACAGCGATGGGTCCCCCGTCCTCAGTGCTCGGTACAGGTACCTGCGGGGGCAAGGCGATGTGGGGGGCATGTTGAGGTGGAAGGGCATGTTGGGTTGCAGAAACTCATCATTAGGCGCCTCAATAATAGAATCATGCACCCACAGCGCCCACGCACACAGTGATGCATCCCATGTTCTCAGTGCTCGGTACAGGTACCTGCAGGGGGTTGGCGATGTGTAAGAGGACAGCAGTGTGAAGCGGCAGGGCGGGTTATGGAAAGGCGTGAAAGACATAGGCTCTAGGGCTTCATAACATGTCGCCATGGCGCAATAGCAAAGGCGCTGGACGGTATGAGAGAAATAAAAGTCTTTGCTCAGTACAGGGATAGTGGAGAATAGTGGCATGTTGGGGCAGAGGGGTATGGAAGGGTGACGGGGCATGGCAGGGTGAGGGGGCAGGACCGGCTGTGGAAAGGTGTGGAAGGCATGGGTGGTGGCACTTCATGAGCCATGACTAGGCGGCATGGTGGAAGAGAGAGCAGGTGCTGCAGAAGATGGTATGAGAGACAGACGAGTCTCACTCGTAGCATAGTGGAGCAGGTAGAAAGTAAGGCACGGAGGGGGATGGTTGGTGGCGCTTCATGAGTCATGGCCAGGCGGCAAGACGATATGAGAGCAAGATGAGTCTCACTCGTGGCATAGTCGAACAGGTAGAAAATGGGGCACGGGAGGGATGGGTGGTGAGGAGGAAAGAGAAAGAGAGGTGCCAGAAGATTTAAAACGGGAGAGAGACAGGAAAAGGGTGTGCTGGGGGCGTGCTGTGCACTCATGTCTACTGGCCATAATGCGGCCCGTTGATTTCCCTCAACATTGAAAGCGCAGCACACCAGCACAACGACAACATTGCGAGCCAGCACGGCTCAGGGCGCGAGCACAGCTCAGGGCGCCAGCACACTCCGCATACCTTGACAGCGCAATTCATTAGCACACATTCAGCCCTCCATCACCGCACCCCAGATTTTAGGGTTTAATGCACGGGGGGCGGGTTTGGGTCACACCTGACCCAGATTTGGGTCACACCCAACCCCACCCCTAAAGGTGCAGGTCTAATTGGATTGGATAAGCCAAGGTTATCAACCGATGTTGGGTCACCTTTGACCCGCGCCCAGCATGGATGGATAGGCCTCATCCGTGAATCATCCCGCACCCAGTGCGTGAATCATTTGCACTAACTCACAGCGTCCTGGTTGCCCAATCCCGCTTACGCAATCTGCACTGCATGCGCGCACACCGGCACTCACCGCATGAGCGTGTCGCACCCCTCGGACTTGAGCCCTGCAATAGCGCCATCCACATCCTCCACTGCCACCAGCGAGGTGACTAGTGAGACGACTCTAAAGTCACACGGCTCTCACGCAGTCTGCACTACGGGCACACACACAGCACGCAGTCACCGCATGAGTCGATCAAGAAACACACAGCGCAACACTCACCGCATGCGTGTGTCACACCCCTCCGACTTGAGCCCTGCGATGGCCCCATCCACATCCTCCACTGCCACCAGCGCGACAAGTTTTGAGTCGACTCTACAACCACCTGGCACTCACCCGCACAGTAGGGCAAGGAATTGCACCACACACACTACTCACCGCATGAGTGTGTCGTGTCGCACCCCTCCGACTTGAGCCCTGCAATGGTCCCATCCACATCCTCCACCGCCACCAGCGCGCTGACTCATGAACCGACTCAAAAGCCGCACGGTACTTACACAGTCTGCTTTACGGGCACACAGGACGCAGTCACCACATGATTGTGTCACACCCCTCCGACTCTAGCCCTGCAATGGCCCCATCCGCATCCTCCACCGCCACTAGCGAACTGCCTCTTGAATCGACTCATAAGGCACACGGTACTCACCCCGCACAGCAGGACAAAGAATGGCAGCACACAGCACACATGGCACTCACCGCATGAGAGTATCGCACCCCTCCAACTTGAGCCCTGCAATGGCCCCATCCACGTCTTCCACTGCCACCAGCGCCCGCTGCACCACCTCCCAATTGGCATCCCGGCCGGAGGGCACGGAATGGAAGGGATTCAGTGAATGAGCTTTGAGCGCCTAAAAGAACGGCTTCCGCTGAACCACCTCTCAGCAGGCATCCTCCACAGCAACCCGCCCGCACAGTACAGGACGGAGTGGCACACAAAAGCCCAGCACGACACGAAGTGGGATTCAGAAAATTACTTTTGAGCACCTCAAAAGCACTGCGACCAGCGCCCACTGCACCACCTCCCAGTTGGCATCCTGCCCAGCAGATGAGTGCAAAGTGCAAAGGAAATGGAAGGGATTTAGTGAAGGCAACGAAGGTTGGGGTAGATGAATTCCCGCTGCACCACCTCCCAGTTGGCATCCTGCCCAGCAGGACTCAAAAGACACCTCTGGACACGACCCCTGCAGTGCAGAGCAGGCCTGTGCACGCGGGGAGGGAAGATGGGGCAAGGGGGAAGAGGATGGAGGGGGAAGGCGGGGGAGGGAGGTGGGGGACAAGTGCACCATCACGCTCACAACCGCCTTGAGCACCTCTGGACACGACCCCTGCAGCGCAGGTCACGTGCACGCGGGGAGGGGAGGGTGGGTAAGGGGGAAGGAGGATGGGGACAGATGCACCATCACGCTCACAACCGCCTTGAGAGCCTCTGGCACTCGACCCCTGCAGGCCCGTGCACCCAAGAAAGCGGGAGGGGGAGGGGGGGGGAGGGGGGAAGGCACCGGGAGGAGAAGGGATGGCAATGGGCGGGTCGCTCACAGCCGCTTTGAGCACCTCTGGAACTCGACCCCTGCAGGGCAGGCTGCGTGCACCCGAGAGAGTGGGGAGAAGGGAGGGGTGTTGGAGTAGGCTAGAGCTCGCTCTGGCCTTTATTTTGGTGTTCTCTTATCATTCCACCATGCTTAGAGCGAGTTATGCTTCCAGGTTCAATTTAGGTTCATTTCGTAGCTATAGTACAAACTGAACACACCCTAAGTTCAATTAGGGTTTCCAATTCCTTTCTAGACTTGTATCTCGACACTTCTTTCCTAATACAATTTTTTCTCTCGCTACCTTCTCTCTTCCTAGCCATGGCTACCACACTCTCAGTTTTAACATGGTATCTAGAGCCAAATCCTTGGCGTTTTGTCCCAATCTATATCTCTTAGTACGGTTTAGGCCTTAGGCATCCGGCGCGCCACTTTTTACCTAGTCGAAAATTATCTTCCCTAGTATTTCGACCCTTAAAGTTCTTTTTTTTTTTTCAATCACGGAACCTTCCATCCATCACCCGAGGTCTCCCTGCCTAGTCACGCGCCCCGTCCCCTAGTCGCGCGCCCTCTCTCGTCGTCGCGCCGCCCTCCCCCCCCCCCCCCACCTCGTCGCGCGCCCTACTCACCGCCGCGTCGCGCGCCCTGCCCGTCGTCGACGTGCGCGGCCGTCCCGCCGTCGACGCGCGCGTCGACGGCGACGTGCGCGGCCTCCCCGCCGTCGATGCGCGCGCGCGTCTTGCCCACCGCCCTCCATCTCCTTGGCCACCCTTCCCTCCTCCCAGCCACCCTTCCTCACCCTCTCGTGGGCGGCCTGCCACACCTCCCTGCAGGCGCCTTCCCCTCCCCCCCGTGGCGCGCCTTCTTCTGCCGTTTCTGCACCACCTCCTCCTTCTCCCCTCACCCCATCCGCCTCTTCACCCTCCTCCTCCTCTCCTCATTCCTTCCTCCCTTCCGTGCCTTTCCTCCCTTCCTCCACTTCCTTCCCCTCCGCATCTGCCACCTGGCTGCGTGTTACTGATTGCCACTTGGTGATCGTGACCCTACTTCCTCCCCACACTCCGCTCCTTCACCCTCCTCCTCCTCTTCTCTCTCCCTCTATTTCCCCCACCCTCTCACCTCTTCCTCCGCCTCTCTTCTCTCCCTATCTGCTGCAGCTGGTAGCTGTCCGTGTTTCGTCGCCTTCCACACCTTTCCTCCTCCTCGTATTTCTCCCCCCAGCGGCGCAGCAGCAGACTACTTCGCCGCTATCCCTCCTCCTCGTATTTCTCCCCTCAGCGGCGCAGCAGCAGACTACTTCGCCGCTATCCCTCCTCCTCGTATTTCTCCCCTCAGCGGCGCAGCAGCAGACTACTTCGTCGCTATCCCTCCTCCTCGTATTTCTCCCCTCAGCGGCGCAGCAGCAGACTCCTTCGCCCCTATCCCTCCTCCTCGTATTTCTCCCCTCAGCGGCGCAGCAGCAGACTACCCCGCCGTTTTCCCTCCTCTTATGTCTCCCCTCAGTGGCGCAGCAGCAGACTACTTCGTCGCTATCCCTCCTCCTCGTATTTCTCCCCTCAGCGGCGCAGCAGCAGACTCCTTCGCCCCTATCCCTCCTCCTCGTATTTCTCCCCTCAGCGGCGCAGCAGCAGCCTACCCCGCCGTTTTCCCTCCTCCTCTTATGTCTCCCCTCAGCGGCGCAGCAGCAGACTACTTCGTCGTTATCCCTCCTCCTCTTATTTCTCCCCTCAACGGCTCAGCAGCTGACTACATCGCCCCTATTCCTCCTCCTCTTTTCTCTCTCCAACACTGCTTTACTGCTATCCCCTCCCCCATATGGGGCCTCTTCTCGCTCTTACCTCTCTTCCTCTGCGCTTCCATCCTCACCCTTCTCCCGCCGTACCTCCTCTCCTACCATTGCCTTCCCTACTCTCCGCCCCCTTCGCTGCCCCTTCCTCCCCTTCCGCCCTTCCTACTTGCCGTTGTACCTCCCCTCTTCTCCACCCCTCTTCTTGGATTCCGCTATCCCATCAGCGTCGCCGCTCTTCTGCCGCTGTAACCTCTGGTTTTGGCTCTCTGGCCTCTGTTTTCAGTGTGACCATGCCATCTCAGGATAGCATCCTTGGTGCTTCTCCTCTTATGGACCCTCGCTTTCTCGTTCCATTTTCTCCACCCGTTCAAAGCACTGCTTCTCACTCTCCCAGCCCTACGGCTGCCGCTCTCTCACTTCCTCGCACCTTGGATTTTGTCCTTGACAGTGCTGCTACTGACTCTGTCTTTCGTGATGCTGGTGTTCTTCGCAATTTTCCTCGTCCCCTCTCTATTGATGGGGCTGGGGAGACCATGACCATGATCTGCACAGGCACTTCCTCTCTTCCCTGTCCTGCCTCTCCCTCTGGCGCTGTTACTGGCCTTTATGTTCCCTCTTGCCGTCATAACCTCCTATCCCTTCCTGCCCTTCAACGCCTCGGTGTACGAGTGCTCTTCCCCGCAGGTGCACTCTATTGTGATCTTCATTACCACGACCGGCACCTCGCTCGTTTCACCCTTTCTCCTACTACTCGCCTCTACACCCTTCGTGTTCCCCTCCCCTCATCTGTCCACCACACTTCCTCTTCTTTTGTCCCTCCCGTCTCCTCTTGCGACTGTCGCTCTCTCACCCAACCTACCCTTCTTCTCCATCATCGCCTTGGCCACCCCAACTTCCCTCTCCTTCGCAGCATGGTCAACTCGAAGCTGCTTCATGATCTCCCTTCCTCTCTCCCGCCCCTTCCCCCCTCTCCCGCTCCTCCATGCACCCCTTGTATTCAAGCTAAGCTCTCCCAATCTCCCCATCCTTCTTCCCCTTCTGCCTCCACCAAACCCCTTGATCTTGTGCATATGGACCTCTGGGGTCCCTCTCCCATTGCCTCCCGTCAGGGTCATCGCTATTTTCTTCTTCTCGTCGATGACCATTCTCGCTTTGCCACTGTCTATCCCCTCCGTGCCAAATCTGACGCCCCCTCCCTCATCATTCGCTGGGCTGAGCAGGCGCGTCTTCGCTTTGGCCGCCCTGTCGCGCGCCTCCACTCTGATGGTGGTGGCGAGTTCTTTAACCACTCTCTTTCTTCTTACTGCTCCTCTCATGGCATTCGCCAAACCTCCACCCTTCCGCATTCTCCTGAACAAAATGGTGTTGCCGAGCGTCGTATTCGCACTCTCACGGAGATCACCCGCTGTCTCCTTACGCATGCTTCTGCTCCCCACTCTCTTTGGAGCTACGCTCTTGTTCACGCCACTCTTCTTTCTAACCTTCGCCCTCATCCCATTCGCTCTTCCATTACACCCTTTCAGCTCTGGACTGGCCGCCAGCCTTCTGCCCGCCCTCTTCGGGTGTGGGGCTGTGTCGCTCATGTCCTCATCAATCCCGCTGATCGGGCGCGTCAGGGTGGGAAACTCGCTCCCAAGACGCAGCTTTGTGCGTTTATTGGTATCAACTCTGACTGTCCTGGCTACCTTTTCTATGCTCCCTCCTCTCAGCAGCTCATTCGCAGCCAGGATGTCATCTTTGATGAGACTCAATCTCCATTCCTCACTCCCCCTCCCACCCCACCTGCTCCCTCTCTCCATTGGTCTGACTTTGATCCGCTGCCCTCTGCTGCTCCCTCTCCTCCTCCCCTTCCTCTTGCCCCTGCTCCACCTCCCCTGCCTGCCTCCTCCACCCCCCCCTCCGCTGTCATCTCTGGCATCTCTCCTCCTGCATCTTCATCTTCTGCTCCCATGGCCCCTCCCTCATCACCTCCTTCTGCTACCCTCCCTTCTGCACCTGCCCCCCCACCCTCTCCCCGTCTCACCCGCTCCATGACCCATGCAATGTCCAATTTTCAACACTCTGCTCTCTTTACTCTTCTCTCTCCCTCTCAGAACGTTGATCTTCTCGAAGATCGCTTTGAGGAGCTTTTCTCTGTTCATCCTGTTTCACCCCTCCTCTGTGTCACCATTGGCGACTTCTCCAATTCTCCGACTCTTCTCTCCGTTGACACTGCCGCTATTCCCACCCCTCAGACCTATTCCGAGGCAGTGTCTGGCTTTCATGCAACTGAGTGGATGGCTGCCATCATTGCCGAGTGTGAGGCATTCACTAGGACTCACTCTTACGTTGACTCTGTCCCCCCCCCTGGCGCCACCATTGTGAAGGGCAAATGGGTCTTTCGTGTCAAACAGCTGCCTGGGGAGCTCCCTGTCTTCAAAGCCCGTTACTGCGCCAAAGGCTTCACCCAACGTGAAGGCATTGACTACTTTGCCACTTACTCCCCCACTGCCCGTCTCCCCACTCTTCGCCTCCTTCTTGATCTAGGCGCCCGCTGGAATTGGGAGATTCACTCTATGGATGTCTCCAATGCCTTTCTCCAAGGCGAGCTTCATGAACGCATTTTCCTTGAGCGCCCCGCTGGCTTTCCTCGCCCCTTCCCTCCAGGCACTGTCTGGGAGCTGAAGCGCCCAGTGTATGGTCTTAAGCAGGCCCCACGCGAGTGGCATGCTAAGCTTGCCTCCACTCTTCACTCTCTTGGCTTCTCCACCTCCTCTTCCGACCCCAGTCTCTTCATTCGCACTTCCCCCCACAGGGTTTACATTCTTGCCTACGTCGATGACTTAGTGCTCCTCGCTGAAGATTCTGCCGACCTTGCCGCTGTCAAGCTAGCCCTCCAGGCACGTCTCCTGTGCAAGGATCTTGGCGAGCTTCGCCACTACCTTGGCATGGAGATTCGTCGCGATCGTACTGCGCGCACCATCTCTCTCTCTCAATCTTTCTACATCCACTCCATCCTTGAACGCTTTGAAATGTCACAGGCTAAGCCAGTTTCCACTCCTCTTCCCGCTAACCATCAGCTTACTGCCCCTGCCGTTCCCGCTCCCTCCTCAGAACTGTGACCCTATCCTGAGCTCGTTGGGTCACTCATGTATGCTATGATGTGCACGCGCCCCGATCTTGCTTACCCCCTCAGTGTCCTCTCTCGCTTTGTTGGCCTTGGTCGCCACACAGACGTGCACTGGGCGGCTGCCAAGCGCGTTCTCCGCTATCTCCGCGCTACCTCTGATCTTGCTCTCACTCTTGGTGGCTCTTCTCCCCCTGTTCTTTGCGGTTCCAGTGATTCCTCCTATGCTGATTCTCGCCCTGATCGCCGCTCCTCTCAGGGTTATGGTTTTACTCTTGGCAGTGGTCTCATCAGCTGGCGCTCCACTCGCTCATCCTCTGTCTGCCTTTCTACCTGCGAAGCTGAGTTGTACGCAGGCACATTGGCAGCTCAGGAGGCTCGCTGGCTCTCCTTTCTCCTTGCTGAGCTCAGTCACTCTCAGCCCTCTGTGACGCTCTCCTGTGACAGTGCGAGCATGATTCATCTCACTGAAAATCCTGTCTATCACGCCCGCAGCAAACACATAGAGGTCCGCTACTTCTTCGTGCGCGAGCTGGTGCAGTCTGGCTTCTTACGCCTTCGCAAGGTGGCCGCTACTGCCAACCTTGCTGACATTTTCACCAAGGCCCTTCTGTGTGCGCCACACCGTTTCTACGTGCGCGAGCTTGGGCTCACGCGTCTTGCCACTTCTGGGGGTGTTCCCGTTTGCTAGGTGTTTTGTTCCAGAGCTTCACCTAGCCTGGGGGTGTGTTGGAGTAGGCTAGAGCTTGCTCTGGCCTTTATTTTGGTGTTCTCTTATCATTCCACCATGCTTAGAGCGAGTTATGCTTCCAGGTTCAATTTAGGTTCATTTCGTGGCTATAGTACAGACTGAACACACCCTAAGTTCAATTAGGGTTTCCAATTCCTTTCTAGACTTGTATCTCGACACTTCTTTCCTAATACAATTTTTTCTCTCGCTACCTTCTCTCTTCCTAGCCATGGCTACCACACTCTCAGTTTTAACAAGGGGGGCGAGAGGTGAGGGGGGAGGAAGGTGGGGGACAAGTGCACCATCACGCTCACAGCCGCCTTGAGCGCCTCTGGCACTCGACCCCTGCGAGGTGACTTTTGAGTCGACTCAAAAGTCACCTCTAGACACGACCCCTGCAGTGCAGAGCAGGCCTGTGCATGCGGGGAGGGAAGATGGGGCAAGGGGGAAGAGGATGGAGGGGGAAGTCGGGGGTGGGATGGGGACAAGTGCACCATCACGCCCACAGCCGCCTCGAGCGCCTCTGGACACGGCCCCAGCAAGGGCAGGCCCCTGCAGGCTCCGGCACTCGACCCCTGCAGGGCAGGCCCCGTGCACGCGGGGAGGGGGAGAGGAAAGGGGTAAGGGGGTGGAAGAGGGGTGGAGGGGCGAGTAGGAATAAGTGCACCACGACAGCCATGCGTGAGAGCAGTCATGCACATCCCGCCATGGGTGGGTTGCTCACGGTCGCCTGCAGCGCCTCTGGGACTCGACCCTGCATGTACCGTGCACGGTAGAGGGTGGGAGGGGGGAAAGGGGTTGGGGGGAAGGACAAGCACACCATCATGCTCACACAGTTGCCTGGAGCGGCTCTTAGATTCGACCCCTGAAGGCCCCATGCGCCCGGGAGGAGGGGGGAGGGGGGACCGGGAAGGGGGACAAAAGAGGTTGGGGGGAAGGAAAAGTGCACCATAATGTTCTGGGAATTGACCCCTGAAGCCTGAAGGCCCCATGCGCCCGGGAGGAGGGGGGAGGGGGGACCCGGAAGGCAGACGAAGGGGGTGAGGGTGACAAGCGCACCATCATGCTCATACGGCTGCCTTGAGCGCCTCTGAGAGTCAACCCCTGAAGGCCCCGTGCACGAGAGGAGAGGAGGGGAGCGAAAGGGGGCGGGGGGGCATGGGGGAAAGAGGGGGTGGCAAGGCAATGGGCGGGTCGCCCACAGCCGCCTTGAGCGCCTCTGGAAGTCGACCCCTGCAGGTAAGACCCCGTGCATTCAAGAGGGGTGAGGAGGGGGAAGATGGGAAGCAGGCAGGGGAGGAGAGCGGGTGGCGGTGGTTGGGTCGCTCACAGCCGCCTTGAGCGCCTCTAGAAAGGAGGATAGGGGATGGGGGATGGAGAAAGGGGGAAGGGGGATTGTGAGAGTACGACGACTTTGCTGGACTTTACTTGCTTGATTCTGCTTTATTGTGCATTATCTAGCTTAGCTTCATTTTATCTTGCATGCTTTTGCTTGATTTCCTAGGTTCGTTGCTTTACTATATTTATTATTGTTATAGGCACCGAACTAGGTTGAGTGCACCGAATTCTTGGCTTTTCGGTTGCCACCGAATTGATTTTTACTGAATTCGGGAAGGACCCGTTTGGGACGCTCCGCGACCCGCGGAACCTTTGTGTCGAGCCTATATATAGCCTCGCCTTGTAACCAGGTGAATCATTCAATAAATTTCTCTTTCCTGAACCAGATCCTCACACTTGGTAATCAGAGCGGGTTTACACGCGAGGTTGTCAACTACTTAAAACCGGCCATTAAAAACCGCGAGGCGACGACGAAAGCGCCGATATGGGTATGTAAAACCAGTTCCGCGTATTTTTTCTAAGTCCCCCTCGGTCTGGTTTCCGAACATCCCTCAGGATTATTGGCAAAAAAGTTGGAATTTTGACCGTGTCAGAATAGCAGCGAGGAAGATAGAACAAGAAAGAGGGTTTTCACTAGCAACAGTTGGGATACAAATAGGAAACCCTAATTGGGTTGTACTCACTACAGAGTACCCCACTGCAGACTAGACAGCAAACACATTCTGACAGACCGTTAGATCGATTCGAATCTCAACGGCCCAGAGAATTTCGTCCAAACAAGTTGGAATTCGGAGCGTTGGATCGAGTTTCTCCTCAACGGCCGAGATCGGACGCGAATTTCAACGTAAGGATAATTGCGCGACGTACAGAATTCGCGCTCGTCGATTCTACAGTCATTTCGACTCGCAGTAAGTCGACCAGCACCTAGAATTCAATTCTTTTCGTCGCACATCTTCCTGTAAATCGCCAAATGGAGGGAAATGGAGATAATTTCGTACGGGAAATCGCGGAGTTACAAGCCCAGCATGAGCAGATACGTGCGGCGCTCCTACGACTCGAAAAACTCCTTGCAAACCAGTCGGCAACCGCCACAGCAGCAGCGAATGCAGCAGCAGCAGCAACAGCGACGACGACGACACCGACAATTTTATCTGCGACAACGGCAGCAGCTACAGTTAATCTCGAAGCAGCGAAGCCGAGACAACCAGACGCGTTCAATCCTATAGTGAAAGGGAGCGGCGTTCGTCGATTCGTAGCTGAACTCGAAATTTACTTCGAAGCCGTTGGATGCACTACCCCCACCAAGACGCGATGCGCATACGGCTCGCAGCAACACTGTTACGTGGCTCAGCTCTAGAGTAGATCAACAACAAATTTGTCCAAGGCGAAGGGACGTGGACTCAGTTTCGGGCAGCACTGATCGAACAGTTCGACGCGTTGAACAGTAGCTACTACGGAACACGACGCAACAAGCCAAATGGTGGCATGGAGTGATCGGCACCACCTACAACTGCCGACCCGATGGGGAACGACAAGGGCGATGCGAAGCAGCGGCTAGCAAACAACGAGACGTGCGAATTTTGCAACGCTAAAGGACATCGTATCTTGGCGTGTTGGAAAATGAAGAAAAGACGTGCGGAGCTGAAGGGCAAAAACGGTGCGGCACCCCCGAAGTAGAAAACAGACAACGTGGCAACTTTGGAGAGGGCGAAAAAGGAGAATATGATGGCGCGAATTTAAAACGTCACGACCAGCCGACACCAGGGGACAAAAGGAGACTCCGCGAAAAAAGACCCTGCACCGACCGAGAAACTCCAGCCGTACACCCCGACAAGTAAGAATATTACTTCTCGTAGGTTTCAAGCCTTCACTAAGGGAGAGTCAGAAATTAATCCGGTACCGGGTAATATGGGGACCCCACTCCGGAGCGTTGATAAGGGTCGAGCGTTCCAAGGAGTTATTATTCTTCTCCCAGCAACACTGTTTAAAGGCTCCCCGCCGTTCCCCACAGGCGAAGCCTACACAGCTGCAAAGGCTTAAGGGAAGGTTCCTAGCCAAGACGAAGCTGAATCGGCCTCGGATAAATCCTTATAACCCAACTCAGTTGAAAACTGATAAATCCTTATATTCGATGTACCCTATGATCCTATAAGCGAGACCATCTACGGTTACTCGGAGCGGCAACAACCACTAGTACTCGAGGTGATCTGCAACAGGCGACGCCTCCAGGCACTGGTGGACAGCGGTGCATCTCACTCGGTGTGCGACCGCGGGACGTTGGAGAAAATAGGAGAATCTTCAAAGGAGACTCAGTTTACAACAACGATGGTGGATGGTACGAAGCTTCCCATCCACGGCGAGACAACATTGCAGCTGCAGATAAGGGCGTTGAGATGCAAGCCGACGTTGCCGATCACGAACATCAAGGTATTAGATTTCATATTGGGGCGTGATTTTCTGAAGTGGTTCAACCCCGAGATAGATTGGGTCAACCGGAAGGCGTGCATCTACAACAACGGGAAACGAGTGGAGCTGCGAAGCTGGACGGATACAGGGAATGTACCAGAAACGACACTTGCACGGTTCGAACGGACGGTGAATGAGAGTAACACGGGTTACTTAGCACTGGTGATGGCAGCAGCAAAGGAGGAGAAGCCGAACTCGGAACTACCTGCAGTAGTACAGGAGGTGTTGGAGCAGTACAAAGACATCATACCAGACGACTACCTGCAGGAGTACCTCTAGCGCGAACCCACAAGCACGAGATCGTGGAGGAACCAAGTGCGAAACCCATTTCCCGTGCACCATACCGCCTTAGTCCAACCGAACTGACCGACATGAAGAAATAGATTGAGTACCTACTGGACAGACAACTGATCCGCCCATCCACATCTCCTTAGGGTGCACCGGTTCTCTTCACTCCTAAGCGAGACGGTAGTTTACGGATGTGCATCTGAACAAAAAGACAATCAAGAACAATTACCCCATACCGCGCATAGACAATCTTCTAGGCCAACTGCGTGGTGCAACAGTGTTTTCGAAGCTGGACCTACGGTCGGGTTACTCGCAGATCAAGATGGCAGACAACTCGGTCCACAAGATGGCGTTATGTACCAGATACGGCTCCTACGAATACTTAGTGATGCCGTTCGGACTCTGCAACGCACCGGCGACGTTCCAGGCAGAGATGAACCACATCCTACGGCCCATGCTGGACGAGTGCGTAGTAGTGTACCTGGACGACATTCTTATCTACTCCAAGAACATAAATAAGAATGTGGAGCATCTGCAAAAAGTCTTCGAGATTCTGCGGGAGAACAGATTCTACGTGAAGCGGTCAAAGAGCGACTTCGCCCCAAAGAAGGCGCAGTTTCGCGGGCACTTACTTGGTGAGTGCCGAGGGCGTATACGTGGACCCGCGGAAAATCGAAGCCGTTTAGTGGAAATTACCGGAGAACGTGAAGGAGATGCAGCAGTTCCTAGGCTTCGCCAACTACTACAACAGGTTCGTGCCGCAGTATGCTAAGATAGCAGCACCACTGACCAACCTACTGAATAAGGATACGCCCTACAAATGGGATACTCCTTAACAGCAAGCCATGGAGCAACTACAGACAGCACGAACCACAACGCCAGTACTCATCCTACCGGATCCAGACAAACACTACATGGTGGAAGCAGACGCTATTGACCAAGCAGTCGGAGCAGTACTGATGCAGGATCACGGACGCGGTTTGCAGCCCATCGCCTACCTCAGTTAGAAGCTACACGGAGCAGAACTGAACTACCCCATCGATGACAAGGAAGTCTTAGCGATAGTCATAGCCTTCAAGGCGTGGAGGTGTTACCTAGAGGGAGCTAAGACTACAGTCTACACCGATCACTGCAGTCTCAAATACCTGAAGTTGCAGCCGACGCTCTCACGGCGACAGGTGCGGTGGGTGTATTTCTTGGAAACTCACTTCCACTACGACACCGTCTACAAACCCGAGCTACACAACAAGGTAGACACGTTGAGCCGCCCCGGTCATGTAGCAGGCATCCAGCTCGACGGGATAAACCCTCTACTCAAGGGTCTATTCCAACATGGGTACTCCGTTGACGCAGAGATTGCTACGGCAGAGAAACAGAAGCTGTTACAGTGGGAGAAGGACTTAGCTATAAGGAATAGTTTTGGGAAAAATTGGGTACCGAACTATGCCCGCTGCGACAGATTTTGCTGGAGGAGTTTCACGACGTACAGTACGTGGGACATTTCGGAAGCAACAAGACGTTAGCAGGGATAGCAAAGTATTATTACTTGCCCGGGATGGCAGCGGACGTGCTACAGTTCGTCACCTCATGCGACACGTGCCAGCGGATGAAGAGTAGCAAGCTGAAAAAAGCAGGGTTACTTCAGCCTCTACTCGCATCGGAGCAGCCATGGCAGGTCGTTAGCCTCGACTTCATCACGGGACTTCCTTCGACCTCACGAGGGCATGCCGCTATACTCGTGGTGATCGTGATGGGACAAGTTCTCCAAGATGGGACATTTTATTCCGACCAACGCCACGGCTACTGCTGAAGCAACTGCTCGCCTCTTCTTCGACCGTATCATCACCATCCATGGCAACCCCGCTACCCTAATCTCGGACAGAGACCCAAAGTTCACTAGTAAGTTCTGAAGGGAACTCATGGGTTTGTTTGGGACAAAGCTTGCGATTTCTTCAGCATGCCACCCCCAGACTGACGGACAGACAGAGCGACTCAATCAAGTGGTTGAATAGCTACTGCGCGCAGCTTGCAAAGACGACATCAGCCACTGGGATCTACAGTTATCGACGCTTAAGTTCGCTTACAACAACGCGTCACATGCGGCCACATGGAAATCTCCTTTCTTCCTGTGTTACGGACGGGAACCACTTACACCACAGCAGC